TATGAAACAATACATCTATATAAAACAATACAACAGCTGTATGAAACTACAACATATGTATGAAACAATACATCTATATGCAACAGTACAACAGCTGTATGTAACAATAGAACATCTGTATGAAACAATACAACAGCTGTATGTAACAATACATCTGTATGGAATTATACAACATCTGTATGAAACAATAAAACATCTGTATGAAACAATACAACATCTGTATGAAACAATTCAACATCTGTATGAAACAATATCACAGCATAAACAATTCATTAGATTTTGATACATCTCTAGAGCATCATTTCATAATGAGTGCAGTGTCCATCCATCCATCCTTCATCCATCCTTCATCCATCCTTCATCCATCCATATATCCATCCATCCACCCACCCACCCACTTTTCCTTCTCCTTGGTGGCCAGATCATGGAGCAGCAGGTCCAGCAGGTAACCCCAGACATCGTCACCACTCCCAGCTTCTCCTGGGGGAATCTTAATCTTAATGAATCTTAATCACCATGAGACACAGGAACTGTTTCATCCCCACAGTCATTGGTTTTTTTAAACAAAATATAAATTTAAGAACTTATCCTAGGATTGCAATCGAATGATCACAGTCCAACTCTTTTTTTCTCTCTTTTAGTAATATTTTTATGTATTTTAATCTTGTTATGAATGCACATTTTATCCTGTTTTTATTAATTTTGTCATGTTTAATGTGGCTGTCGTCTCCACCACTACTTACTGTAAATGAGTTGCCCTTCGGGGACCTAATAAAGTGAAGTGAAGATCTCTCCAGCCTGGGTCTGGGTCTTCCCTGGGGTTTCATCCAAGTGAGACATACCAAGGAAACCTTCAGTGGGCCTAGGAGGTCTCCCAATTAGATGCCTGAACCATTTCAGCTGACTCTTTTAGATGCAGAGGAGCATCGAGTCAACCAGCTGAGCCCTACCACCCTGGAGAAAGATCGTTTCAGCTGCTTGTATCTGTAGTCTTATTCCTTCTGTTATGATCATTTCCTCGTGACCATAGGTGAGGGCAGGGGTGTAAACAAACCAAAAAAAATCACAACTTTGTCTTTCAGCTGATCACCACAACATACTGGAGCAACGGTCCAGTCCACTGGCGTGATGAAGTCTTTCCTTGAATATTATCGTGCATGCTGACCCTTTTCTTGGAGGAGCCACTGATGTGTGGGGGAAATGATCTTCCATTATTATTAAAAGCCCTGGATCAGCTCTTTAGATTTTTGCTCACACTGTCCCAGCTCTGCTCTGCAGGATCTGTCTGTTGTTCCTGAAGAGCCCCACCACTGCCCTCCCATCAGCAAACTGACTTGTTTGAATCTGACCCAAATGTTGCACTTCTCCTTGTCCATCATGTTGGTGCAGAGCGCTCTTTTAGGTCTTTGTGATGCAGCTGAATTCAACCTGTATTTATACAGGTTAGTCTCTATTTATATGAATGAGATGGAGGAGGATGACTCGCTGTGGCGACCCCTGATGAGAGAAAAGCTGAAAGAAGAAGAAGTCATATGACCTCATTGACCCTTTCTCTTGGTTTTCTTCAAGGTGTTGTGCACGGATTAGCCCACCCTACCTTATTACAACAAATGGGCACTTCCTGGTTGTGTACACACCTCTGCCATGCTGCTTGTTGACCTACAGCCATCTTTCATTTCCAGTGAGGGTGGGGGGTCATTGAGTTCCTGCTGCTGAGTCTCTGCATGCAGACAGAGAACCACCTCTGACTTTTCTTTACACAGCAAGAACACAGAATCTGGCACCTGTCATGTTGACTCTTCAGCTTTCATTAATGCAGCCCCATGAGAAGTTTAAAGAGGCGGTGAAGAGTAAACAGTCCTTTGGGAAGAGGTGGCCATGTTGTCTTTTATTTTCTGTCAGAGGTGGACTGAATGAGCCTCGGTGTCTCTGTTTGTGGAGGAACAAAAGAGACGGGAAACAATAAAGAGGCTGTAAAAACTGGCTGCTTATCCTCCGAGAGTTGAGAAAATGAAACTTGTTGCAGGAGTTTGGCACTAGAGGAGCTACAAGAGGATTCTTTCATCCCTTCATGCAAAATGACAATTCTTCCATAAAATCCAGAATGAAAAGTCTCTTGTTCAAGCTTCAGGAAATAAAAGTGATCAGTTTCCTTTTATTAAACTTGTAGAACTGATGGCTTACAATCTGCACCAACATCTGAGAAATAAAGTGATGTACAAATCTGACAAGTAGAACCACGAAGGGTTAACTCATTAACCTCAGACATGGTTGACACGTCAGGTGGTCAACCCTTGTCACATGATCAGTTTTTCCATTACAAAACTCATCAAAGTTTAGATTCACATTCAGGTTTGTTTCACTCTGATGTGCTTCAGGATCATCTCACTGCTGATTCAGACTAAATCCTCCCCGGCCGGGGGTGTCCAAACCTTTTCATATGTGGCCCAAAACTATCCAGATGATTGGGCATGAACTTTGTTATCCACATGAAGGACTCGTGGACCACAAAATGTGAACTTAACTCTCAACCTGAACAATATTTTGGAGAAACCTGAATTTGATAATTTTGGTGAAGAACGCGTTTTAAATTGTTGTAGATCCAAAACATTAAAAGCCTCATAAATACTAAAGTTACATTTTTATTATAAATGATTTGATTTATGTGATTTGTTGGGTCTGTTTGTTGTTTTCTTGTATTTGTAAAGTTCAGTTTAGTGTGTTCGCAGCAACAAAAGTGCAATTTGAGCCAGTGTCCTTTTAAAAGGGGGTCGATGAGCCGTTTGGACCATGGACGGCCCAAAAGGCTGATCCAGGTTCTGAAACATCGTCCAGCTGTCAGTCACTGCAACAGATTCATAGAAGGTTCAATAAAGTTGATGTAGATGATACCAAATTCTAATCATTTAAAAATGTCCTCTTGATTATTTTATCAACTGCAACATTTAGACAAGTTTATGAATCATTTTCCAAAAGTCTTTTTCTGGTAGAAATCAGTAAAGGTTTGTGGTGCTTTGTACCAAGAAGTGAAAATAAAAAGATTATAGCTAAAGGTTTGTATTTAGTTTAATACTGTATTGCTCATTATGAGAAGATTGTTTTTCATCCGTTTCTCTGAAGCAACAAATCTGCAGAAAGTGCGTCGACCTCTTAGCCTGCTCGCCAAAATGATACCGTTCTTAAACTGCAGCTGTGGGCCGCACCGGATCACTCCAAGGGCCGCAAATGGCCCTCGGGCCGTCCTTTGGACACTCGTGCCTTAAAGGAACAAATATCACCTGCTGCCTTTATTGACAGATTTATTTCAAGATGGCTGCCACAGCCATATCTTGTGAGACCAGTTAACACTTGGAGTATGTTGTGAGGATGACTCTCACCTACTACCACTCCAAACTTTAGCTCAGTATCTGTTAAATTGATTGTTAAAGCTACGTTTGTAATGGCTACATTGATTAGCGAGTGGCAGCCATCTTGGACTGAATTGACTCCAAAGGTTAATCCAGGGGTCTGCAACCTGTGGCTCTGGAGTCACATGCGGACCATCCAGGACAGCTACCACAGCCATACCATACCATACCATACCATACCATACCATACCATACCATACCATACCATACCATACCATACCACTTTATTTATAAAGCACTTAAAACAGCTACAAGGCCAACCAAAGTGCTGTACAGACAGAACAACAGGTAACACACAAAGCAACATACAAAATGAGGTAAATCAGAATATAGACATAAAAACGATGCAGATAATGACGACAAACCAGTGTGGAGCATACAGGATCAAAACACAGATCATCTGGTGTTGAAAGTTACTGAATAGTAGTGAGTTTTTAAACGGGACATGAAAACCGAGAGGGAGGGGGGCCTGTCTGACAAGCAGAGGTAACTCGTTCCAAAGTCTTGGTCCTGCTACAGAGAAGGTCCTGTCACCTCTGCGCTTAAGACGAGTTCCTGGAACTGTGAGGAGCAACTGGTCCGCTGACCTCAGGGAGCGTGGTGGGACATACGGTTGTAGCAGATCAGAGAGATCGGGGGGCGCGACACTGTTCAGCGATTTGTAGACATACAGGAGTATTTTGAACTGGATTCGAAAGTGAACTGGTAACCAGTGCAGTGAGGCCAGAACTGGTGTAATGTGCTCTCTTTTGCCTGTACTGGTTAAAAATGGGGCTGCTGCATTCTGGACCAGTTGTAGTCGTGCAATGGAGGTCTGACTGATACCAAACAGGAGCGAATTGCAGTAATCAAGCCTAGATGTAATGAATGCATGTATTACTGTCTCCAGGTTATTTTTGGACAATATGAGCTTCAGTTTAGACAGCCGCCTCAGTTGGAAGAAGCATGATTTAACAATCATGTTTACATGATTGTTAAGTTTCAGGGAAGGGTCCATTATCACGCCCAGATTAGTGACTCTTTGTTTTTCTGACAGGGTTAGAGCGGAGAGGTCGATGCAGTGGTTTGTGATTGTGTCGTTGGGAGGGAACAACATGACTTCAGACTTCTTTTCATTGAAACTTAAGAAATTTAAAGCCATCCAGTCCCTGATGTCAGCCCGGCAGTTGAGCAGAGGTTGAATAGAGCATGTACCATTGTGTCTTAGGGGGAAGTAAATTTGACAGTCATTGGCGTAGAAGTGAAAGGGCATGTTGTGTTTCCGGAAAATAGCACCAAGCGGCAGCAGGTATAAAGAGAATAGGAGGGGACCCAGGATGGACCCCTGCGGAACCCCCCATTTAAGCTCTGCCTCTGCAGAACTAAAATCCTTAATGGAGACACAAAAGGATCTGTCAGTGAGGTAAGATCTGAACCAATTGAGGGCTGATCCTGTGACGCCCACCCACTGCTCCAACCTAGCAATGAGGATCTCATGGTCGATGGTGTCAAAGGCGGCTGTGAGGTCCAACAGGACAAGCAGCACAGAATCACCGGTATCTGTGGATCTGAAGATGTCGTTAAAGACCTTCAGCAGGGCAGTTTCAGTGCTGTGGAGAGGTTTAAAGCCAGATTGAAAAAGCTCTAAGATGGTGTGATCCTCCAGGAAGCACTTCAGCTGGGACTCGACTATTTTCTCCAGTAGTTTAGAAACAAATGGGAGTTTGGAGACAGGCCGGAAGTTGGAAACGACTGAGGGGTCAAGGTTTGATTTTTTCAGGAGAGGCTGGACAGCAGCATGTTTAAAGGTTTTTGGCACCACGCCAGTGGATAAACTGCTGTTTACTATATCAAGAATGGACGGACCTAGAGTTGGAAACACCTCCTTTAGTAGTCGAGGGGGGACCACATCAAAGGTGGAACCAGAAGGTTTCAAGCTGCACATGACCTGCTCTAGAGAAGATAGAGTGATGGGTTCTAAATGGTCAAAAGGAGCTACAGGTTGAGGTGGGATGGATGGGTCAAGAGTTGGAGGGGAAATGAGAGCCCTGGTGGTCGCAATTTTTTCCAAAAAGAAATGTAGGAAGTTGTTGCACAGCTCAGTCGAGGCTTCCAGAGGTGATGGTTCAGTGAGGTGGAGAACAGAGTTTAGGGTGGAGAAGAGGACACGTGGGTTGTGAGAGCCGATGTCTGCGTAAAGCATTCAGCATCATTAAGGACCACACCCACCCAGCACAAGGACTCTTCCATCTACTACACTCAGGCAGACGATACAGGAGTCTGCCATCATGCACGAAAAGGCTAAAGGACAGACGTGGTGGAATGAAATTATGTACACAGAGTCCCAGTGACATCCAACAATAAAATGTAAAAGAAAATCAGTAATAAGATCTAAGATATGAACTAAGAAAAACATCAACTAAAAAGATGCTAAGCGCTATTAGCATAAAAACAATAAACACAATATGAACAGCAGTACGAACATGAGTCTGTGTGAGAAGATGAGCACGAATGAACACAGCATCATGAAACAGCTCCATAACCTCCTGCCTGGGCGGAGCGGGGCAAAAAGTGTGTGTGCTGGGTGAGTGAGGTCCTTCATGATGCAGGTGGTCCTCTTCCTGCATCTGGAGGTGTAGATGTCTGTGATGGTGGGGAGACTGACTCCAACATCTTCTGTGCAGCCTTCACCACTCTCTGCAAAGCTTTTCTTTCTGCAGCTGTGCAGCCTCCATGCCACACGTTGATGCTGGAGCACAGGATGCTCTCCACTGCACACCTGGAGAAGGAGGTGAGGACTGAGCTTCCAGACCAGCTCGCCTCAGCCGTCTGAGGAAGTAGAGATATATCATGTCACTACCTTACCGTCATAATTCATCTCTGTTCCTCACCACCTGTGCAATAACTTGTCACACAACCTGTTATGTTAGTTACGTGCAATATATCGTGTATATATATTGCTACCTGAAATATTTATTTAAACTAATTCATCCTGCACCGTTATATTCTAACATTTGTTGTTTACTGTATTTTGTTCGGACCTCGTAAATGTTATCATTTTTCACTTTTTGGTACTTTGTTTTTTCATTGCATACTTTAGTATTTCATGTTTTTAGCATCACATTGGTTCTTCTCCTCCTGAACATTTCATTGCATGTTGACCTTGTGTGAATATGACAAATAAACAACACAACTGTGGCATAGAAGGTGGCGGGCGATATGCATTCCTTCGTGCAATCCTGAGCATTTGAATTCTTTTATTTTTTAATCGTGTCACAGCTGCAGAAATAAATATTAGTTTATATGTCAGTTACTGTTCTTCAGCAGTCAGGCTAAAGATGAAACTCTTCAAAATAAAAGCACCAAAAAGGGGCGGGGTTATCAAGCCTCGACCAATCAGAGCGTCTGTTAGAAGTCGCACCTGAGTCACTGCGGCAGCAGGAGGCGGGCTGGTCCTGTATAAAACCTCTGTCCTCCCACATCGTCCAACAGAGACCTGGCTGTCCTTTGACTTTTGATCTGACGTCCCTCTCGCGCGCATCCTCACAATCAGCCACCATGCGCCTCAGCGCGCACGAGCCGTGCCAGTCCATCTTCTTGCTCTGCATCCTCCTGAGGAGCTGCCAAGCCTTCACGAACGACGCCACGGAGCTGCTCTTTCCGCACGCGAGCCCGCCGGTGCCGGAGCCTTTGAGCAACGCATCCCTGAACCGCGCGCGCAGTGGCGGGCGCGCGGCGGGCGGCGGCGGCGCGCAGGACAGAAGCGGTGAGTGGAGGAGCGTCATCACCTTTCGAAGCATTTTAAAACTATGAAACATTATTAACATTATTAGTAATGTTCAGTTCATGCAGCTAAAGGTGCAAAACTCTATTTTGACCATGAGGTCCGGGTCACGACCCGATGGGCCCATCAAGGTGGGGCCTTCAAATGATTTTCAGAACAAGACATTTCAGTGTCATTACAAGAGTTAAACATGCTGTCATAAGTAAATAAAATTAGTTCAATGATGTTCCTATTTAATGTTTATAGACTTTAGTTAAATGTATTGGGTCACAGGTATTTGGGACCTTTTTAATCTTTTTGGTTCAGAAGCTGAAAAGTTTTGGATTATTCTAATAAAGTTGAGTCAGATTCTCTGGACATTCTCTTTTGATTCAACGTTTCGTGTTTTGTCCAAAAGATTCTTCAGTCTGAGGAGCTGCAGCAAAATGACCGGGGATCATAAAAAAATAAAATAAATACATTTACAGATCATTGTTGAAACCTATATTTAGAGTAAAGTCAGTAAAAATAACACTGAAACAGGTAAAAAAAATTATATATTTTTTATAGAGACTTTGGATGCTTTAATATTTCCATTTTACTGTCACATATCATATTAATAGTTTTAATTGTAAAGTTCCATAAAATGATTTTTCTCACATTTAGGGGTCAGTTTCAATGGTTTTGCTCTGCAGTGCATGACGTAACCCTCCACCTCAGAAACAAGCTCATCTCTAACACTGTTTGGCTCATTTCAGCTGATTTCATATAAAATATTTGTTTGAATCTGTTTTAAATGCACACAGTCTGTAAGAAAACAAAAAAAGATGCTTCCACACCCTAAAATAAAAACAGATTCATCAGGATTGTATCAGCTGATATCAGCCACTTTTTAAAAATCAGCAGTAGACCATCTGCGTGTGTTTTTAATCAGACATCAAGGTGGATAAAGAAGCTACAGCCGGCTCACACTTTAGTTTTAAGAACACTTTTCTTTATATTGCATTATTACAAGTTCTTCTAAGGGCTGTTACACATGCACATTAAGAATTGTAGCTGCTTGTTTTTAATAATGACCAAAAATAAAAAATGTCAGTGTTGTATATTCGCCCTCGGCTGCCTCCTCCTTCTTTTTCTTTCGGCTTCTCCTCCTTCTCTTCTTCTTTCGGCTGCTCCTCCTCCTCCTCCTTTCGGCTGCCTCCTCCTCCTTTCGGCTGCTCCTCCTTCTTCTTCTTTCGGCTGCTCCTCCTTCTTCTTCTTTCGGCTGC